CTTTTCATACAGTAGAGAAAAAAAACACTATGTTTATGAGAAATATAATAAATACATCAAGAAAAGCAAAATGCCTCRTGAACCACTGGATGGATTTTACATCTACATCTGGTTAGCTTGATCCCAATAAAGATGGCCGCCACATATAATCAGCATTACCGAACACAAACATGGCTTTAAGTGAGTCAGATTTCCRGATACTGAGCTGAAGTTTGTTGTGGCGACAGCTGAGAATCCTCCTCTTCACGTGCTAACAGCCTGCAAAATATCACAAGAGATGTTGCACAACTTTTAATCCTGGAAACAAATTTTAGTTGTTTCAKTATTAAGTGGATTAAAAGAACTCAACAAATTTCAAAGTTTGAAACATGTTGCACAGCTCAGTCACAGACTAACCCGCTCCGCTCTTCTCCTTTATGTTTTACTCTGTTATAGAATCAACAAAATGACTCATATTTTTATTGATTTGATTGAATCTTTGTCTTGTTTGTTCTGAGTGTCTTCAGTCTTTAACACCTTCGTAGCGTAGTGTCTACGCTCTTATTCGTTAGTTTTATTTTTTCTCACTGGGTGTCGTGTCTCTGTCAGATGCTGGCCACTCTTCTCATCATCCGTCAGTTCCTTCAGAACGTGAAGGAGGTGCTGCAGCCSTACCTGTACGAGCGCCACAAGCTGGGGGAGCTCACGCTGCGGGCCGTGTGGGACCTGCTGCTCTCGGTGCTGCTGAAGTACGCCCGGCTGGCAGCTGGAAAGGCCCAGGCCTCTCCCGCCGACCAGACCCTGCCAGGACCCGGACTGAGGGGCTCCAGGCTCGGAGCGGGGCCGGCGGATCAAAGGTGGCGTATTATTTCAAGTCTAAAATCTGCTTTTAGGATGCGGAGGACGTGGAGCAGATCGTTTCCACTCGCCTCGTTCCAAACACAAACGCCTGAGTTCAGGCAGAACGCCACTGTCTTTGTCTCTGTCTTTGTTTGCATGCTGTTATGATTCATGCCTGTCAGACATGTAGCTTTAAGCCCCCCGGTCGTTTACACACTGGCTTCGTCTGATGTCTAGCCCCCCTCTTTAACTGCTCGCAGGGAGAAGAAGTGTTTGAACGGTGGCTGTGGAGTGCCTGACGAGGAGGAGGGAGGCGAGCGGGACGAGGCCGACAGCGGGAGGTTCAGTGAGGGAGAAACCGAAGAGGAGAGCGTGATCGACTGCGGCTTGAAGCTGAGGAAAGTCAGCTTCATAGAGAAGGTAGAGCACTTTCTAAATACGTTGTAGGAGTAAAAACAGCAACAGCAGCTGTTGGGGATTGTTTTGTTTTGTCGTCAAGGTGGACAGAAGGCCAGTCTGCGGTGGAGCCCCCATGGAACACAGCTTCCTGGAAGAAGGGAGCCCCACCATGGTGGAGAAAGGAATGGACCCTGCCTCCGTCTTTGAAATGTGCGATGACGAAGACGATAATGGAATCCATGATGTAAAGGAGTTGGGAGGGGGCGGAGCGGAGGGAATTAACGCCGCTGCCGCTGCCGCTGCTGCCGGCGAYGGCGCTGCCTCGCTGCCCTCTGGCTCTGAGAGCAGCACAGCGCTGCGACACAGAAGAAGAGGCCAGAGCGCGGAGAGGACCGAGGCTAAAGCAAAGAGGGGCTCGTGGATGGATCCGCCTGAAGAGACGGAGAGCACCACGCTGACTCAGGCCGAGCTGGAGAGCTGCATGCAGACATACGCTGTAAGATTCTCTGAGCTGATTGGTTAACAGAACAGAACACTTCCTTAAAATTCTCATTGAACCTGGGAGGCAGTTTGACATATTTAGCTCTTTTTTTAAACAAACTTATTCATTTCATTTAAAAACAAAACAAATATCAAAATCTTAAGACCAGTCAAAAAAGTGCAAGAATTTGCATTTTACATTATTTGATCTTAAGAAGGTTCTAAGTAGAGCTTCACAATGTTAAAAGATGAAATCAGTGCAAGAGACAAGAACTTTTGAGCAGGGAATTTTCTGAAAACTGCATTTACACTCAAACATGATTTTTTTCAGCTGATCAAAAGTTTAAGACCATTTAAAAGTCAAAAGCTGTGCAAAAATCTGGATTCCATGTCATTTTCTGTCAAGTCTTTACACTGTCAAGACCTCCTGATGGCAAAAGTAAAAAAGCTCACTGACTTTGAACGTGGTAGGGTTGTTGAGCTGCATAAGCAAGGCCTCTCACAACGTGCCATCGCTGCTGAAGTTGGACGCAGTAAGACAGTCATTTTGCATTTTTTAAATGATCCTGAGGGTTATGGAACAAAAAAGTCAAGTGGTAGACCCAAAAAAATTTCACCAGCTCTGAGCTGCAGGATCAGATTGGCTGTCCGTCAAGACACTGGACGATCCTCTACCCAAATTAAGGCCATTACTGGTGCTGACTGCAGCCCAGTAACCATCAGACAGCATCTGTGAGAAAAGGGCTTCAGAAACAAAAAAACATCTTCAAAGGCCACGTCTTCTTCAACGCCACAAAATTGCCCGTTTGGACTTTGCAAGGGTGCACCAAGCATGGGACATTGAAAGGTGGAAGAAAGTTGTCTTCTCTGATGAGAAAAAATTTAACCTTGATGGTCCTGATGGCTTYCAACGTTACTGGCATGACAAGGAGATCCCACCTGAGATGTTTTCTACACGGCACAGTGGTGGGGGCGCCATCATGATTTGGGGTGCGTTTTCCTTCAATGGAACAATGGAGCTTCAGGTTGTGCAGGGGCGTCAAACAGCAGCTGGCTATGTGGAGATGTTGCAGCGGGCATCCCTCATGACTGAGGACCCTCGTCTGTGTGGTAATGATTGGGTTTTTCAACAGGACAATGCTGCAGTTCACAATGCCCGCCTGACAAAGGAGTTCTTCCAAGAGAATAACATCASTCTTTTGGACCATCCTGCATGTTCCCCGGATCTAAACCCAACTGAGAACATTTGGGGATGGATGACAAGGGAAGTTTACAAAAATGGACATCAGTTCCAGACAGTGGAAGCCCTTCGTGAAGCCATCTTCAACACTTGGAGCAACGTTCCCACTAGCCTCCTGGAAACACTGGCATCAAGCATGCCTAAACCATTGTTTGAAGTCATCAACAAGAATGGTGGAGCTACTCATTACTGAGTCCTTTTTTTGACACTTTGATTTCTGTTTTGGGGGGTTTTTGGGGTTTTTTGAGCTATGGTCTTAAACTTTTGATCAGCTGAAAAAAAAATCATGTTTGAGTGTAAATGCAGTTTTCAGAAAATTCCCTGCTCAAAAGTTCTTGTCTCTTGCACTGATTTCTTCTTTTAACATTGTGAAGCTCTACTTAGAACCTTCTTAAGATCCAATAGTGCAAAATGCAAATTCTTGCACTTTTTTGACTGCGCTTAAGATTTTGATCAGGAGTGTATATACAACAAATCACAACACAACACAAATAAAATGAAAGGTAGCAGAAAGAAGAAAAAAATTCTTATTGATATCTGCCCCTTTTTTTTAAAAGAAATAAATTGCAACAGAAATAGTCTTCAAACAACAAAACATAACAAAAACAAACTCTTTCTCGAACAACGGTTTTTATAAATGCACACTATTCAAATTCATAACTCCTCAACAATCTAACTTTCATCATTCTCTTAAATAAAATTATTGAGCTAGCATTTATATAATCGCTTTCCAGATTGTTCCAGAGTCTTATTCCTTGGACCRAARTACATCTGTCCTTCAAATTTGTTTTGAATTTTGGGCTTTACAAACATCTCTATACCCTAAAGGTTGTAATTACTTACTCTCTTAACCAAATTTAWTTGAATATTTAGAGGTAATAAATTTTTATGAGCTTTATACATAACCTGCAAAATATTATGATCAACCAACTCATAAAATTTCAAATCACTTTTATGGCAGACCAAAAATGCATACATATTAGGGATGTCCCAATACCAGTGTTGCACAAATCGAGTACGAGCAGCATTATATAACGGTCTCAAAACAATATTAAAGTTTATCATAATAATTTCTGAGACAATATCTCATCCAGAAAAATTTGTTATTGTGACTGTCTAACACACACACACACACTTTGGCACAATCTGGTACAGCTATCTTTATGGGGACCTGGTATTGACTTCCATTATTTTCTATAGCCTAACCCTAACCTCACAGGTACCTATCTGACCCTAAAACTAACCTAAACTCAATTCACACCTTAGTCCACCAACACCGTTTACCCTTAAGGGGACTAGACTCAGGTCCCCATAAGTACCATTAGGTCCCCACAAGTTGGTGTGCATGCCWAAAAAGCTGTCTCACAATGTAGGGAATACCAGTCCCAGGGAACTTTGCCCACCCTTCCTGATTTGAAAAACTTTTAAGAACCTGATAATATAAAATATTTCATCTGTACAAACCACTGTATGACTTTCTGACACCAGCATTATGCATCTAATCACTTGATGTTTAGTGGAATTATGTAAAATAATTTACTTAATTTGTTTATTTTGCTGCAATAATTCAGTGACTTCAAATTTAAACTTGATGTAAAATCTGTTTTTCTGCTAAATGAAGAAAAAAGGTATTTTTTATTTCAAGATACGTGAGATGTCTTAATTTCTGTGGTGCTCCTTCTTCAAGTCCAATGAATTCTTAAAGAAATTGTTAGTTTTTTCCCCSTGAGCTCACTGGCACTGCCCCACTATTTGAGAAGCACTGAATTTAATGTGACAGTTACACAAAAACAAAACATTATTGTCTTTTCACCTTTGGCAGCAGGTAAGAAGTATGGGTTAAGTGCAGTTAATCATCTTTAGCCACTTCTGGCCCTCATTCCTTAGAATAGGGTTTCTCAAACTTACTGGGGACCCCTTATAGAGGTGAAAATATTCCAGGGACCCCCTCATAAACCTCATGCTGATTTAAAACTGATGTACAACCATTTGAGAATAATTATTGTTTATTTGTTTGAGCAAGTTTATGTTACTGGTGCATTGTTCCCCTTAGGCATTTATGAAAAATTTAAAATGAAAAATAAAATTAACAGTTTATTACAATTTTTAGGGACCCCCCCCCAAGTTATAGCTGGCGGACCCCTTGAGAAGCTCTGCCTTAGAAAACATAATAGCCCGTTTCAAAAGTACTTTAGAAGTTTTTTTGTTATAATTTTTATCTGTAAAGCTGAGAGTCAGACTTTGAGACAGGTTCTGTTTAGGGGTGTAGGAAAATATTGATACACTGAAATATTGCAATATTTAATTCTCAGAAACACAGTATTGATTTTTAATGAAGGCTTAAAATGTAAGCTTTTATGCCAGAGGTTCATTTTAGTGTTATAGCCTCCAACTGCTAGTTAGCAGCAGCCAGCCATTTAGCTGATGTAAGAAGAAATGTGACAAACAAACACAGTTCTCATTGTTGTTCAGTGTTCTTCTGATTCCATAAAATAAACAGAATTTAATCAGATTTTATGCACGTRATGTATAATTGGCTCTTCATACTGAGTTTTTAAAAGTTTAAACTTTTTCGAGAAAGAAAGGTAATAAATGACTTTTATATCACGATTCATGACGTGGTTCTGTTGTGGAAACTGCGAGGCACAGTCTGGTTAACAGCTCCTCTCCTGCTGCGGTCGTGTTTGACTCGACGTGAAGCTCTGACGGCTTTAATTCACCGTCTCGTCCCTCTTAGGACACCTTCCAGGACTATCAGGAGATGTTCGTCCAGTTTGGCTACGTGGTGCTCTTCTCCTCCGCCTTCCCTCTGGCCGCCATGTGTGCGCTCATCAACAACATCATCGAGATCCGCAGCGACGCGTTCAAGCTGTGCACCGGGCTGCAGAGGCCGTTCGGGGTCCGGGTGGAGAGCATCGGCCAGTGGCAGGTGGGAGATTCTCTCCGAACATTTAAACAGCTTTTTTTTTCTTCCTGTATATTCTGATGCTGCTGCCATAAGGCGTGTAGGTGTATCTGAAGCATCTTAGAGTTATGTAAAGAGTATTAACATTTGCTGTGACTCGAATTGATAACATTTAATTTACTCCTTAAAGTCTGGCTGAAGTAAACTGCTTAAAGATTTCTCATGGTTCTAAATAAATCGGACACTTTTCTCTCCTCCTCAGACTGCGATGGAAGCCATGGGCCTGATTGCCATCATAGTGAACTGCTACCTGATTGGTCAGTGCGGTCAGCTGCAGCGCCTCTTTCCGTGGCTCAGTCCGGAGATGGCCATCATCTCTATAGTCATCCTCGAGGTACCACAGGCTGGAGTGGTTAGAGTAGAGTTTTAAATTTTTCAAGTTTTGCTTGTGTCATAATCAGAAAATGGCCTAATTAAGACGTCAGGTTGATCAGAATGATATATATGATATATTTTTCCGCGTGGTTTGACTAAGTTGCAAAATGCAACAACAGACTAAGTAAAACTTTGACAATTGCGAGCAAAATAGTGGGGAAACCTTTAAAATATGTGATCCACCTCTATACTGACAGAACAAGGAGGAAAGCTGAGAGWATTAGGGGTAGACGCTCTGGAAAATATTGGTTTAAAAATATATGTTTTGTCCCAAATGTGATCATTGTTCTCAATCAAACAAAGAGATAAATAACATACAGTCCTGATCAAAATGTAGATCGGTTGAAAAATGGAAAGAAGTCACATGTTGCATTGTTGGATCTTAAGAAGTAGAGTTTCAAAATGTAAAAAGAAAGGAGACAAAAAAACCCATCTGAGTGAGTATTTTATAGCAAACAAGTATTAAACTGAAATAGGCTGGACATCAGCTGATCAAACATTTATATCTTTGTCCATATATCTGTCTTGACAAATATCCATCCGTCCATTTTCTACCACTTATCCGGGGTCGGGTCACAGGGCAGCAGCCTAAGCAGAGAGACCAGACTCTCCTCTCTCCAGCCACTTGGACCAGCTCATCTGGGGGAATCCCAAGGTGTTCCCAGGCCAGCCGAGTAACATAGTCCCTCCAGCGTGTCCTGGGTCTTCCTCTGGGTCTCCTCCCAGTGGGACGTGCCCGGAACACCTCACCAGGGAGGCGTCCAGGAGGCATCCTTACCAGATGAACCACCTCAACTGGCTCCTCTTGACGTGGAGGAGCAGCGGCTCTACTCTGAGTCCCTTCCAGATGACCGAGCTTCTCACCCTACGTCTTGACAAATAGACAATTCAAATTTCTTTGGCTTTACCACATGACTTTTTTGTTCCATAATCCTCAGGATCTTTTTTTTTTAGAAGTTTAAAATCTTTTACTGCGTCCAACCTCAGCAGCAGCTGCAAGAAGCCTTTCAGCTCAACAATCCGACCGCGTTCAAAGAGAGAAAGCTTCTTTATTTTTGCCATCAGGAGGTCATGATAGAAAATGACACGGAATCCAGATTTTTGCAAAGATTTGTGTTTTTAAATGCTCTGGTCTTAAACGTTTGATCAGCTGATGAACTTTAGTTCAGCTTAAAGGAACAGTGTGTGACATTTAGCAGAATTTAAGATAACCACTAATAAAATGATTTAAAACATAGAATCATTAAAGACTTTAAAATAGTTGGATTATTTTTACCTTAGACTAAAATATTTACATAGGTGCGGGTCGACACTAGTTGATGCAGCCCTTTTGTAACTCCGTGTTTCTGCAGAAGCTCGGAAGGACGAACAAAAGGCTAGCAAAACAGCTAACGTTACAACAGCACTACTGAAGTGCAGAAAAATATGTTTTTATTGTAGCTATGATAATTTTACATATTACATTTCCTAAATTTCTAATGTAATTAATCTTCCCAAATGAATTATCATTATTTCTAAAGCTGCTATTAGACATCGTGTTTGGGAGAATCAAAGATTTATGACACCTGACGGCCACCGTAGAGATGATTGTGTTGATGATGTGTTGGGGTGTTAGTTGGTTGCAAGCCACATATTACACACTGTCCCTTTAATGGTTGCTTTCAATAAAAAGCCTACTCATTTTTTTTGTTTCACTCTTAGTTCTTCTTTTCGCATTTCTTAAGATTCAACAATGCAAAATGTGAATTCTTGCCATTTTTCAACTGGTCATAAACTTTTGATCAGGACTGTACATTTCTGACTGAGCTGTCGGGGGTATATCAGATTTATTGTATGAAAATGTTTTTTTGGACTTATATATATTTGTATTGTTGTGCTTGGCATGTTCTGTATATTTAGTTTACTACATGTCTGCTGAGCCATTAAAGTTCTATTCTAAAAAAATAGGGTAAAAATATTTGATCTTAGTCTGAATCTCCTGATATTAAGTAAAATAATCTGCCAGTGCAGTAAGATATTTGCTCTCGGTAAGACTTTTTAAAATAATGAAAATTTCCAGGTTAAACACATTCTGCTCTTGCAGTCTCAAAATGAGATCGAAAATATTTGGTAAGATGGACCATTTTTCCAGGATTCTGTTTTTTTTTTAAAGCAGCTCTTTTTTTGCTGTTTCAGCACTTTGCGATCCTCCTGAAGTACATCATCCATGTGGCGATTCCTGACATTCCTACGTGGGTCAAAGAGGAGATGGCTAAACTGGATTATCAACGCAGGGAGGCTTTTAAGGTAAAGCATAAATAAAAGAGAGGCGTTCAAAATAAGATGTATACTAAAAGACCAAAGATGTTTCACTGCTGCACTCCTGGATTCATGAATAGTTTCATTGAATTCCTTCAGCTGTAAGATGATGTTAGATTGGTGCAGAACTGGAATAGTTAGCAGGGTTTGTGCTGGTTCTAATAAATGCCGTCTGAATCCCCCCCTGCAGAAGCACGAGCGGCAGGCGCAGCAGCATTACCAGCAGCTGCAGAGGAGGAAGAGGGAGGAAGAAGAGAGGCAGCGGCAGGCGGAGCACATGGCCCGCCGAGAGAGGGAGCGGGACGACGGCAAGGGCGACTCCTCCGGGGACCACCACCACGACAAAAACCACGGGAGCAAGTCCCGTTCCGGCGGCGGCGGAGGAGGGAGCGGCGGCTCGGACAAACCCAAGAGACCCAGCTCGCTGCTGGCGAACAACAACGTGATGAAGCTGAAGCAGATCATCCCGCTGCAGAGCAAGTTCTCCTCGGGTGGCGCCCGCTCCCCGCAGTCGCCCACCGGCAGCGAGCCCAAACTGCCGGGATTCCTCAGCTTCAAGTTCCTCAAGTCGCCGGAGAACAAGAAGGACGGAGCCGCAGCGGCTTCCTCTGCCGCTGCGGCTGCGGTCACCAGCGCCACAGCGGCAGCTTCGTCGTCATCTTCACTATCAGGTAGCAGCTCTCAGGAGCGTTCTCAGTCACCCAGCAAAGCCTTCAATCCCGGGAAACTGTTTAACTTTGGGAAATCTGAAGGAGGAGCGTGTGTGAACGGAGCTCCGGGGCCCAGACCTGGAGATGGTTCTTCATCATCATCATCATCATCATCACAGATGTCAGACAGACAAGCCTCCCGATCCGACCTGAACGGTGTTCCCGACGAGATCCCTTCACCTCCGAGAGAAGGGTCCGAAAATGGACACGCGGTAGATTTGGACCCGGCCAGTTCGAAAATCTAACCTGTTTGTTTCTGAGTCAGCTGACGAGTCGACGAGCTTACTGTGAGGAAGGGTTCAGTCTGTGCCGTCATAAACCACGAGGGAGATGAGAGGATGTTGATTTGGTTTGGGGTTTTAGGTTTTTGCGGAAAAACAACAACAAAAAATAACATTCTTCATCAGACAGATGAGAAACCATTCCCTCGTTGAGTAAAAACACACACACACACAAAAATCCTTCCTTGTCTGCAATACATAAAGAAATGCATGAGCTGCATTTCTACTATTTTAAGCCTTTAAAACACAAAGCTGTTTCATGATTTCCTTTAGTCAGAAATTGTAAGCATCTTGGTGGCCTCTTAGGAAAAAAAAAACAACAAAAAACAGTCCGTCGTGGAAAATATGCGTTGAAATAAATAATAGTGGTGTGAAAGAATAACCGATTAAACTAAAAATAACTTTTGTTTTTTTTTCAAGCTATTACATCACAAGTGGTCATTTTATCTCTTTATATTGTGAGAATTTCTTGGCCTTTTTTTTCTTCAAATAGAAAAATTGAAAAGCAATATCAGTCAGTGTTTTAATAACCAATCAATCATGACGAAAAGCCCTCCCTCTCATTAATCCTCATCCCTGAAAACTCACCAGCTTTAGTTGGGAAAGCAGAGGTGATGCCTGAGCGTTCAGCTTCCCTGACCACATTTATCTGAACACAAAGAGTCAAGCTGCCGGCGCCCSGATTGTTCCTGAGAGAAAATGGGAAAACACACAAACACACACGGAGAAAAAGCAGTAGCTGAAGGTGATTTTGAGAAAGTGGAGCATGGAGGCCTGTTGCGGGCTGTTCTCCATCCAACCCTGTAGCGTTAGCTTAGCGCCTGTAAACACAGACGGTGCTTCATTTCACTCACTCCACACAGACTTGGCAAATGAGTTCGAGAAGAGAAACCTGCACTTAAACCCTGACATCCTGCATGGAGACGCATCCTCCATTCAGGAAATAAAATAATTTATTAACACCAGCCTGATTCATTATGTTATGCAAAAAAAATTATTTTTTAATATATATATTTCAGTATTTCCTTTGAGTTTTTCTCCCAGCAGCTGTTTGATTGTAGAATATTCAGATGGGCTTATTTTTTTGTATTAGTTGTTTTGTGATTGTTTTTCATTTACGTCTACATTTTTCAGATAATATGGTTATCCCAAGATTTACAGTATTCTACAAAAGATATTAGCATTTAATTATTTCATAATAGAAGAGTACAAAAACGGGGGGAAAACATGTTTTCCTTGCTGATGCCCGTCACCAGTAACAGTTTGAGTTTTTCATCTGAATCTATGGAGGGCTCAAACTGACATCATTAAAAATAAAAGCAGAAATACATAAATGCCCAAATAAATAAATACGCTTAAAATGCACTAGCTAATTTCAAACTGACTTTCATATTTATTTTTCCAGCTTAGTTTCAAGAAATTATATACTTTAAATTATACTGTTTTAATGGACCACCCACTTAATTTGCATAATGAGGCAGAAATGCATGAGGTAAAGTTAAAAACAGGAGACAGAAAATATTATTCAATTACAATTAGTTTTTGTTCATATTTGTTTATTTTGTCTGGAGGGACTACAGGTGTAAATTAGCCTAATGCATCAAATGTTTTTACATTTGTTTTATTTGTTCATTGTCCTAATTAAATAAAAATAAACGGATGAATAAAAACAGCATGGAAATAGAAAGACTTGTGGCATAAAACAATTTAAAAAAATTAAAAAACATTTTAAGAGACAAATGCATGTAAAAGTAAAATAAACAAAAAATATGTTTTTAAAAACAGTAAAACTTAAAGTATAGAACTTAGCTAAAATGAATATGAAGGTCAGTTAAACTATAAACATGAGGTAAAGTTCTTTTTTTCTATTCATTTGTGCATTTTAAGTGTAATTATTTCTTTATTGGTCCATTTAAATATTTCTGTTTTTATTCAAAATGATGTCAGTTTCAGTCCTCCATAGATTTCCTGCCCTGTTTGCTAAATAATATAATCATAACTTTTTATTAATGATGTCTTTGCTCCATTTCATTTAAGCTYGCGTCTTTGTGCACAAAATCCCACAACAACTTGATGTTTATCAGTCTCTGAGGCCCTGTTCACACCTGGTACTAACATCTGTCCTGAGCTGCAGCTGGATACCACTAAATACACGTGAACATTCTCAACGTAACAKCTTCACTCAGACCACCTTTAGAGGTGGATAAATGTGTTTTTCAACCTTCAGACATGGTATGGACCCCTTTTTTTGTCTGTTTTGTGGTCCAAACTACAAAGCCTGACGTGTTGATGTCGACGTGAAGTTATTGTGTTAATCTGACTATTGAAATATTTGTTGCAGCACTGTTTATAAGTGCACGATTAACCGGTAATTCGGTAACTGAGAGATCAGATCAGTAGCTGGCTTAGGAATAGATATAGCCTCCTGCTACAAGGATGTAGCAGCAGCTGGTTGTGCAGTRGTCTTRGTTTTGGCCCTGGGACCACTTGGAACTGCTCCGTCGAGCTCAAGCTGAATGCACTCGTCTCCCAAAATCAYTTGACTCAGTTTGACCCACCACTGGGTGGATCCTGTAGTTATTCTGGACGTTGTGTCGTTTTTATAGAAACATCCGCACATCTTGTTGCTGACTGTGTGACGCAGCTTCACTTATCTGCGYACAGATCAGGAAACTGATAACTTATTGCAACAAATGTTTTTAAACAGCAAGGATTACACAAGACAGAAAGTTAGTGCGAGGTCTGAAAGAGGCAATTTTTACCAAATAAGATTTAAAAAAATCGGAACGTGCCAAAAGCTTTTACATGGTACTTTTAAATCTGTTGTTTTATTAAAAGTTGATGATGAGACGTTCTATTTATTTATTTACTTACTTATTTTCACGACTTAAGCCCATCATTATTTCTGCAGAGTCTCCMGACCTATTCCTTTAACCTTCAACATGTAATCATCAGAGTGCATCATGCAGGTCAGGTGTCCCTCTAAAAGGAAGTGCATTAGATGACRCACACTCATCAGGAAATGTTTTCCGCTGCACTGCACTGTGGTACGAGACAGGAACATCAGCTATGCATTTACACACTTCCACCTCTGACAGGGCAATAACACTGAGTTGAAGTTGTGAAACAATAAGTTCAGACTGACATCGCCACCTGCAGTACCAGCTGCATCCCTCCTTAATGTCCATTAACCGTCCTGGAATCTCATTTTAATGTGAAGGATTTAAACTGGCCTTTAAGAAAAGTCATTTATCCCATCAGCCACCTGTCAAAAGAATTCACCAGCTTGATTTTTATACCATCGCCTCTGATGTGTCAGCCTTTTATGTTCAGTTTATTTCAAAGGAGAGTAAATGTGATTTAAACAAACGGGCAAAAATAAAATTAATAATGCAACAGAGGATAAACGAAACCATTTTTTCCTGTTAGTATACAATGTGATAAAGATTGTTTTTGGGTTTGTTGATTATAAATGTAAAACTGAGGATGCTGAGGTTGAGAGAAATACATCGCAGGCATCGTTAAAGGGAAAAACATGGCTGAGCTCAGTCTCATTAAAACCACTTTTTTATTTGCAGCGTTTCAGGGATGAAGGACATCATGATGCAGAAGAGTCCATCTATCACCGTCTGTAAACTTGTGCAGTGGAAGCACTCTAAAAATAGGGGCCGAGGGCAAAGGTCGAGGTGTTTGCTGACGCTGCAGTACAGCAGTGAGCAAGTCTAGTCATACCGTTATGTGCTGTTATATTCTTTAATCTTCAAAATACAACAATTATAAATGTCTTTGTACTCAAGGCAGCTGCAAAATGAATCTAGAAGACAAAACACCTTTTAATAAACCCGACTTGATGAATCAGAGCTTGAACAGTTTCACGAAAAAACTTCCATCTTTTATCTGAAACAGCAGCATTATTGTTGTAACAAAAATCAAACCGCTGAGACGTGAAATAAAACACCTGGTATTATCTTAACTATTCGTCTAGKGGGGGAATAATTGCAGGAGGACTGAATGTATCTGGTAAATGTTTCRTGTTCTGGGTTCTGACTCCACAGCTACAATAAACCCGAACCTCAAAATTTAGACGTTTTCAAAGAACATCATACGCTCTTCCAATGTACAAAAAAAAAAAAGGAAAAAAAACTTTTAAAAGAAAAATACTGGGAAATGGGATTATTTATTTCTTTTATTTTGTCATATTTTTGTAAAATCTGAAAAAAGGTTAATAAATAAAACTCTTTTCAAATGCATTTTGTGCAGTTTGTTTTGTCAAATCCATTTTTTCCCTGCAATGAATCAAATTTACAGATGAGCTTCAAAGCATCACTTTCATAGCTTTAGACCAAGATCTTATTTGGTTCATATTTACCTAAACCACTACAAGTTTGTTTGATTTTTCTCACTTTTTAAAGCCAAAAGAAGTAAGAAACCTTCTGGGATTGAACCTGCAACCTTTAAATTACAGCCAGTCTTACTGCTTGTACCACTCACTCTTATACTGTGTTTTTTATTTACTTGTCTTATTTCTGGCGTTYTGGGCTTCGGGACTGAAAGTCTGCGAGGAAAACCTTCCATCTGATCCACTTCAGAGACTCAGGAGGTCCTAGACTGAAGTCTGAACTCATCAGACGTCTTTACTCTGATCCGAACTACAGGATCTGCTTCACTCAGACCAGAACCTCCTCAGAACTCAACACCTGAACTTTCAGATGCTCTTCAGGAACATTCAGGTTTTTACAGAGTTTTGATTTCCACCAAACTCAGGTAAAGTTTCAGAAAGCTGACTTTTTTTGTTTCTTTGTTGAAAGTTTCAGACTCAGTTTATTGTCTCCATCCAAGGAGGTCATGTTTGTTTTTTATTTTTACTATTGGTTTGTTTGTTTGTTTCTGCACAAAATTACRAATTTTCATAAAATTCAAGTGGATATTGGGGCTGCCGCTCCCACAAAGAACTAAATAAATTTTAATTAACCGTCCTTCAGTCAGGAAAATCCCACTGAGATCTCAGAGTTCTCWCACAAGGTGGGTCTGGGCCTGAAGGCAAGCTAATATGCAGGTTTTTGGTCTACGGATGGAAATCTGAGCATCCGTTGAAAACTTACACAAGCACAAGATTCAAACTCCACAAATAAATCCCCCGGTCCAAACCGGGGATCGAACCCAGGACCTTTTTGCTGTGAGGGATCAGTGCGAACCACTGATCCACTATGCTGCTGATGAGCTGGTAGCATCTTGCAGAGCTGCAGCTCAGTCATCTTGCACAAATACAAAATGAAACTAAAAAAAATAGCCAGATGCCATTTTTAGGAATGATGTCATACTGTGACAACCAATCAGCATCCAGCAGAACTTTCTTCCACCAACCACAGCACATCAGCTGCCCACTCTCATCTGCATATCATAGGGTCTTGGTGAAGATGGGCTCTCTGAGTGCTTCTAGTTAGTTTTTTATTGCCTGRTTTAGTAATTTAGGTTTTTTTCTTCTTCTTCTCCGGCTTCTGACCTCCACATGTTCATGCTTCAGTAAATGAGGAAACCTGACATCTGCAAAGTGCTGAGGTGAATCAACTGCTGTGTCTGGAGATCACAGATGACTGAGGACGTCACTTTCCTCGGCTGTGACAGTTTTAAATTGTTGAAACTCAGTGTTGTATAAAGTACCTCAAAGTGATACTTGATACAAGTATCTTATCATAAAAATACTTTGGTAAAAGTTAAAGTCTTCTCTAAAAACATTACTTGAGTAAAAGTCTTAAAGTATCTGATATTTTTTGTACTTAAGTATCAAAAGTAWATTTCTGACACAAAATCTACTTAAGTGTTAAAAGTGAAAGTACTGAGTAAAAGTGAGCAGTTAGTTTTTCCAAAATGACATTTACTGGGAGGTGACTTCTCCAAAAATTATTTTTTCTAACGGCGTGCAGCTGTGATGGGTTGTGTACACGCTAATATGTTGTCAGAATGGTATATGTTTATACTTCTCATCCAACCACAGTTAAATTCACTCTATCCAGGAGACACAATTTATCAGGATAGTATTAATAACTCAGAATAAAATAGAGTAACGACTTTCTACTTCTTACCTTTTTTTTTAAAATGTAGTGAGTAGAAAGTACAGATAATTGTGTAAAAATGTAATAATGAGTAAAAGTAAAAAGTATGCTGAAAAATTATTACTCAAGTACAGATAACCAAAATTTATACTTAAGTACAGTAACAAAGTATTTGTACTTAGTTACTTTACAACACTGGTTGAAACGGTCATAAAGCAGCAACACATGRTATTTATGATGCGTATCGCTGGTGTTAGCGTTTCTATTATTAAGGTKCTTATGTTAATTATCAAATAAAATCGTTGGATAATTGTGAAAACCAGTTGTGTGGATACGCTGTTTGAGACAGATCTGTGTGGCATTTTGTGACTATGATACTGGACCGAGTCTGGGCCAAATGTAGTGGTTTTGTAGCACCGCTGACCCAGACCCTTTTTACGAGTCCAGGCCAAATGCTCTCTTATATTTGGACCAGTGCCGGCACAGATACCTTTTGCTGGTTTTTGTTTTTAATCTCTTCATGTTCCAGCACATTTGGTAACTTTAGCACGATATTGTTTTGATGAAACATTTTAAACACCACATAATAAAACAACCCCAGTTTCAGTCCATTTTTATTTAAGCAAGGCTTAAAAGAACATCTGATCTAACACACAGGAGRGGGGCAAGGCTTAGGGTGTAGCTGAACAGTCTACCAGAGCAGAAGCATAACGTGAGTTTATGCTTTAACAAAACAAACGGTAGGTAAGAACCACACTGCAGCATGGACTGATTACAGAACAGGAGGCTGTGAGGTGAACCTGCAGGGCGGCGAGAACGACGAGCTTTTATTCAGTGTTGCAGTTTTAGGATACCAAACAAACTGAATGTGGGGGTGGGGG